AGGGGTTTCTCAGTAGCCCATGCTCTATGTTGTTGGATAGTAGCATCATCAGCGAATAGTGAGGTTAGCCGGTGCTGCGGTCGAGAATTGACAGGTCACCTTCCGAATATATTTCTTTTATTGCTAGTGAGGTGGGACTAAAGGTTCGGCCACACAGAGCGCTACGCTATGTTCGCTACGTACGCTGTGTACACTCTGCGACGCAGCTAAACATAGCGTACGGAAGTCTGTGTAGCCAGTCACATTGGCAATAGAGGGAGATATTTTTCTGTTCGTATAGCGAACATAGCGTACATAGCGCTCTGTTTGGCCGAACCTTTAGTCCCTTGTACTGCGGTCACTTCTCGCCTATTGTACCTGCCCAAGATGATAGGTGAGGGTGATTGTGGAGCAATTGGTGGAATGAAGATTGGCAGGGGAAACCGAAATACTCGGAGAAAACCTGCCCCAGCGCCACTTTGTCCACCACAAATCCCACTTGACCAGACCCGGGATCGAACCCGGGCCGCCGCGGTTGGAAGCCAGCGACTAATCGCTTGAGCTATGGCGCGGCCTTCCGAATGTAAGTTGAAGCGTTAATGCTTTATGTCACGAAAACAGCTTCACCTTGCCACTGATCGACAGACAAATTAAGCATTCTGTCATACAAATGTATGACTTTTTAAGTTATGTGAATTTGGACCGTCAACACAAAACGAAGATGAACATTTTCAAGGTGGAGACAAAATGGATGTTGTGGTGTCTCTTACTTGTTTATTACAAGCAGGTGTATGTTACATGTTTCGAGCTTTACTTAGGGCATCATCGGGCAAATTCCAATAAACAAGTTATTTGAATTTAGTTGCTTTAATATGAACCGAAGAAGCATAAGCCATGGTTCGATGAAGGATGCTCAAAAATATTAAATCAAAGAAAGCAGGCCAAATTGCAATGGTTACAGGATCCAAGCGAGTTAATTGGAGATAATCTGAACAATATAAGAGGCGAAACCAGCAGGCATTTCGGGAATAAAAAGAGAGAATATCTGCAAGAAAAAATTGATGAGC